CTTAAACTGTTTAAAAATAATAGATCGCGGTATTATATGGCAGCTTAAACTGTTTAAAAATAATAGATCGACGGTATTATATGGCAGCTTAAACTGTTTAAAAATATAGATCGCGGTATTATATGGCAGCTTAAACTGTTTAAAAATATAGATCGCGGTATTATATGGCAGCTTAAACTGTTTAAAAACATAGATCGTGGTATTATATGGCAGCTTAAACTGTTTAAAAACATAGATCGCGGTATTATATGGCAGCTTAAACTGTTTAAAAACATAGATCGCTGTATTATATGGCAGCTTAAACTGTTTAAAACCAAAAATCATGTTATTATACGGCAACTTAAACTGCATTTCAAAAAATGTTAACACCAGATAAATCACAAATACATACACAAAAACTGTCTAATGTATATGCAAATATCTGGTTATTCTACATAGTACCATTCATTTCATATCAACAAAGATATGTGTAAAATCAATAAAACTGCCTTTGTGCAGGTATTGTAGTTGGTTCCATTTTATTAAGATAGATAAACTTGTTCAATAAACAAGGAACTCTCACTTCATTATCCAATTTTTTTAAAACTTGAAGGAACTACTGTTTGAAGTTTCAGTGTATTTGTCATTGTACAGATTTCAAAAGTCTATAAGACTTACCCCCCAAAAAATCTGTTTTCGTATTAGATATACATATATTTGTACACACATATTCATGTTTATATTAAGTAACACATCAGAAGTCGATCTTGGTTTAGAATCAACTCTCAATACTGATTTTTGAAACTCACAAATGGTGAATGTTTCTATACAACATCCATGCTTTCTCCTATCAATTTTTCATTGTGCATACACCATTCTTTCAATAAAAATGCAAATTTAGTACAAGTACAGTCTTAAAATTGATAAAAACAAATCATGAACTAAAACGATTGAAACTTGGCAACTATGACTTGTAGAAATTATTAAACTGTTGAATAATACCTAATACATACAATCAGCAAATTTATGTGGTTCAAAATGGAAACAAAATCTTAAATAACTTGAATGTAGTTTATTTCTGAAACTAAATTTACACAACATGAGAAACATGTATATTTTACCAAAGTGAGTTTCTGTTTTAGTAATTTTTTTTTTTCTGTTAGAAATGGGGCTAGTCAAAAAAAAATAAAAATCAACTGGTAAGTATAATGAAATCATTTTAAATTCCCAATGATCCAAACATGCATACGGATTTTTGTATCAACACATTATTAACAAACCAACCAAGCATATAAATAAAAATGTAAAAAAAAAAAAGACATATCTTAAGCTGAGTATCAAGATTATTGTCCTGTTTTGTCATTTTAATTAAAATCTCATTAGTTGCTTATTGTAGAAAGTGGTTTTGTATATAAACTCAATATACCTACATTGTTTCCATTTCAACAAAGTTGACCTTTCTTATTCCAGAAACTGTATAGAAAAATTATTTACTTATAAGCTTCTTACCCTAACAAAAATGTAGATACTGACAAAAACCATAAAGAAATTGTATGCCACCATCAACCAACGCATGTTCAAAGGGTCTCTATTCTTCATAATTGCTGGTCCTAACACTTTAACGAAGTAGACGTATGAGAGACAAATGGTGATGGTGGGTCCTGGTCCTTGCATAAGTGGCCATTCCTGGACTCGGCGGTCTGGGAAGAAAAGGAAATTCATTCATGCTTTGGATATGTTTGGTAAATTAAGCTAAAACTTGTATAGATCAATAAATTACTCATTATGTTACATGTTTATTCTTAACATTAATAAGTGACAGTAAAATATTCAAATACAAGCTAAAATTACAAATACCATATTTCATAATGTTAGTTTCAAAAATAATGATTAAATTAAAATAATGTAGACAGCTATATTGAACCCAAAACCCTTCATTTTTTTTCATAATAGATGAGTTTAATATTTTTAAAACTCCTGATTCAAAACATTTGTTTCTGATCAATGTTTAACACATTTTTTACTTCTGGACAGTGCTGGTTCTATTTAACATGATAATAGCTTTGCAACAGAGACATAATACAGTTAGAGTAAATATATGAACAGACATTTCAAGGCAGCAATGTTCTCACCATGAAAATTATGACAGAAACTAGTCCAAAAAACTGTGTAAACATTTGTTGAACCCTTAAACAAACAGGAAATCTGAGTACATCAGTCAACATGCACACTGTATACTATAGGATTTAAGTAAGTTTTACTAGCTTAAAGAATTTTATTTGGTAGGGTTATATTTCTGTTTTTATTCAGAGTAATTTGAAACTCGGATGAAATATGTATCTCCGTGTTTTGTTTTTCTTGTAAATTCTGCTTAATTTAAACATTTAAGCAAACCATTCTGTAGATTACAGTTGTTAAATATTTATACAGACCATATGTGATGAGTTACTACAAAATCTGCTAATAACTGTGTCAACAAAGTTCACTTAAATAACAGTTTGCCTATGTAAACAGACAACATACTTATCTAAAGAAAAAAATTTAGTGATAAAACTGTACAGTATTATAAAAAAACTTAATTCATACTGGGTATTTGAAAAAGTAGAAAGAAATGTAAATAACGTACTAAAACTTTTTCTAATAGAAAATATATACCAGGTGGCTTATGTTTCATTTTTAAGAAGGTTTACTTTCCTTCCATATTTGAAATAATCATATAGCATATTAGTGCTTTTTAATAATAATATCACCCACACAAAGAACAAACTTGAAACCTGTTCCATGTCATTAGCAGTTACTACTGTTGTGTAAACAGGTCATTTATGATCAAGTCCAAAACAAAGCATTCCACAAAATCTATAACCCCTTAAAATTCATGAAAAACAATTTACCTTAGGCCATAAACAAAACTACTATGATAAACTACACAACTAAGACTGATTCAAATAAACTTATTACTTTACATCTTAATCAAATTTACAACATATTCAACTGATAATTTCATACAAGTTATGTTTAAATTAGCTTAAGTTTTAAATGTCACAGGAACTGGAAAAGATTTTAACAACTGCAATTACATTAACAAGCTAAAATTTATTTATAAAATCATATACATTCTCCTTACTCTTAAGTCATAATACTGACCAACTTCATTACATTAAAACACTTGATGTTCACTATATTAGATATAAAGAATTTATTTACCATTATATTTTATTAACATAACCAAACTTGAATGGCAAAATGCATTATGAGTTACTAATTAAAAGCCCAAGCACAGAATCACGAACACAATTTTCAACATAAGAGCTAAAAATAACTCAGGATCTTTGGTGACCTATAAACCATAACCTAAGATTTACAGGTGGAACCTGTTCTGACTAGCGGCATCAACAGGTACATTACAACAATAGGATTTCTGCATATCCTGTTCTATACCTCAAAATGTCAACCACTTAATGCTAAATATGTAAAAATTTCATATCCAAAATTTTAACTGAGCTTGGATCTTTTTTTTTCAAAATCAAACCTACAGCAGGTCATCTTCAGTAGACTGTTAACAGCCAAACAAGTACGATTCAGCATTAAGAAATATACTGTTTATATAGTAATTTATAGTAATTAAATATTTACTTTTTTAATCCACAAATAATAACAAAATATTTTTGTACTATAAATTCTAAAATTCTGGTGATAATGAAAACTTCTCAGATTTTGATCATCATTGACCAAAATGTAAAATTCTACAGATGCAAACACTTATTCCACAACAAATGTTTGTTTGTAGTTAAGCACAAAGCTACACAATGGGCTATCCGTGCTCTGCCCGGTTTCTAGCATTGTAAGTCCGAAGACATACCGCTGTGCCACTGGAGGGCATTTCACAACAAAGATGCTAGGCAAAATGGTAAGAGAAAATAGAAAATATATTTCCATCATTAGATTTTATTTTTAATAAAGTTATCTTGATTTTGTTTTTAACACAAAACTTGCATTTAAAAATCACTATGTTTGTGTATTTTTATGTAATGTATACACCATAATCAAAAAGTTTTGTGTAAATCAAGGATATGATACTAAAATGAGATTACAATTAGACTTATATGTTTTTTGTAATGCTTAAACACATAATTGGAAGTATTCATGTACATTAAGGATATGATAATACTAAACTGATCAGAATTGGTACTTTTATGTGTATCTGTGTATATTTATATGTAATGCATACATGCATAATTGAAAGTATTTATGTATATTATAAGGTTTGATGGTAGCCAGTACTAAAAAGATCAGGCTGACAGTTTTGTTGTCAAAAAATCCAACAATGCAACAGCTACTTACATGAATTGAAAAAAACCAAGTTTTTTCATGTTATTATTACAAAAAATATTTTTACATTAAAAGACTGTTAATTTTAAACTACATAGCCAAATACAATTTATTAGTCACTTAAACCTGAATATTAAGTTAATTACAACAATGTAGCTCCATTCCATTTGTAAACATGAATTACACCTCACTAGGACTTCTGAATTAATACCAACATAAATTAATAACTACATAGTACATGTTTCTGTAGATAAACCAAACCCATGCACTAAAATAAATGAAGGTAACTTTATACTGTAGGTCCAGACAAGGCACACAGTTATCTCTACACAAAAGTGATAATACAGAACCAAATATGCTATCCATATACACTCAGCAACAGAAAACTTTCCACTAGAACAAAGACAAAAACAAGAAAACTACATGTAAATAACATACACTTCTTATTGTACTTGTACTTCACATGTCACAATGGAATGTTAAGCAACAAAGACATTGAAGGACAGGGATTTCTAATGGGTTGCTCCTGCCCTTGTCACTTTGAGTGGAATGATGTTTTTTGGGCCTTTTTAGGTCCCTATGTCTTCTTTGTCATGGGGTATATTTTGTTGTGCAGAGCTCTTGTTTTGATTTATTTAATGCTCTCATGTATGGTTGTGGTGTAACTGTTTGAGGAGATAGGGTGTCTGTAAGCTATTAGTTGTCTATCGTTATCATTATGTCTGCATTGTTTGGAATGTCAAGGATTTGATGCTTGTCACAGTTTATGATATGGACTGTCTGGTAGGTCTGCTTAAGTGGAATTTTTCAGGATATAGTAGTCTTCTGGCATCTTTCAATCTCATTGTTTTTACAGTTATACCAGTTTCTCCTGTATGTGTGTAATGACAGTAGTAAGGAACTTTGTAAATGATTTCTTTATGTTTTATTTTGCTACCTGGTGAAAGGCCTCATCAGCACTTTTCTTTACTTACACTCCTAAGTTCTTAGCATATATGTTTATGAAAATTCCATGTATTTGGAATAAATTTGGATGTTGAACCTATGCCAATTCTTCTAAGTTTGTAGCTTTGGGATGAACTTCAAGTGATCTTGGAGTTGACTTGATCTTTCCTTCCAGGTTGAGATGAAGTTGACAGGGTAACCATTAAATTGGAAAATACTGTTTAAAAATGTTTCTTATTTAAGCTGTTTTTATTTATCACAGATTTCTTTTGTGGCTCATTCATGCATGTTTCAAATGATTTCCACATTTTGTTGAGTGATGGTGATTGGACAACAGAAGTAAGCACCTGTTTGAAGGGTTACATTTTTCTGTACACAGAAGAGGTAAGGTGTTGTTCATAGTTGTGAATGAGAACATCTTTGAATGATATGGTTCTTTTTCTTCTATCCGAATAATGAATTTTACCTTTCAGTTCAGAAAGTTATGATTTGATTAAAGCTTCTAAGCAATTATTGTTTGTATATCCAGGCTACAATGATGCCTTCAACATAGCATTTCCAGGTCTTGGGTTTAAAAGTAGCCTTCTTTTGGAAGACCACTTGTTTGTTCAAATGGGACCAATATCATCTCTTGGACATAGCTCAACACTGGAAAAATCAAAGAACCATTCTACATCACAGTATATCAACCAACTTCAAAGTTTATAGATTAGTGCCATTTGGACAAACACTCTTCCAAAGCAACATAGCTATATTACATTATAGTCACACAGATGACAACCCTCATGAAAGCTCAGAAAAAAAAAACAACTGTGTAATAGGTCTGCACTACCAACACAAATTCCCATAACACTGAAAACAGACACAAAATAGAGGCTGAAACAATATAGAAGCAGTCTATCAGAAACTCCAACCTACACTACTGAAGATTCCCAATGGGCTACTGTACAAATAAAGGATTATTCTAAAATTTTAAAAAGCAAATTGTGGTTCACAAACCAAAATATAAAAATAAATACCTATAATTCGTATTTGGCTAATAATAAATGTGAATTTCTATACCCATCTCTAAAATTACCAGGAAGAAATTCATTACTTTGTGTGTGATTACTGTACAAGTTCTGATAATACTGATAAAGAAGTCTGAATTATTCTCACATTAAGGAGGGAAAAAATTCCATTGGTTAATTAAGATAATATCATGACTACGGTACTGAAAATTTTTATGTAATTACTTTGGTTAAAAACATAGGTTTTTAAAGCTATTTTGGCCTATTTTGAGCAAAAAATAAAGGAAAAGAATGAAAATAAGGTTTTAAAGGTTTCATTTGGAGGCCTTTAATCTATTCTTTCATTCATTTACTCTTTCTAAAACTACTTAAGCCTAAACTGTTGACTAAAAAAGTTTTAATAAAACTTATTTTGT